CTCCGCCCGTCGCCTTCACTTCTCCCCCGTCGCCTTCACTTCTCCCCCGTCGCCTTCACTCCCCCCCCTCTTCCGTTGCCTTCATTTCCCCCTCCCGTCGCCTTCACTTCCCCCTCCCGTCGCCTTCACTTCCCCCTCCCGTCGCCTTCAATTCCCCCTCCCGTCGCCTTCATTTCCCCCTCCCGTCGCCTTCATTTCCCCCTCCCGTCGCCTTCATTTCCCCCTCCCGTCGCCTTCACTTCCCCCTCCCGTCGCCTTCACTTCCCCCTCCCGTTGCCTTCACTTCCCCCTCCCGTCACACTCGCTTCCCCACCCGTCACCTTCACTTCCCCTCCCATTGCCTTTCACTCTCTCCTGCTCAATCTCTTTCCCCCTGCTCACTCTCTTCCCCCCTGCTCACTCTCTTTCCCCCTGCTCACTCTCTTCCCTCCTGCTCACTCTCTTCCCCCCTGCTCACTCGCTTCCCCCCTCCTCAATCTCTTCTCCCCTGCTCACTCTCTTCCCACTCTCTTCCCCCCTGCTCACTCTCTTCCCCCCTGCTCACTCTCTTCCCCCCTGCTCACTCTCTTCCACCGTGCTCACTCGCTTCCCCCCTCCTCAATCTCTTTCCCCCTGCTCACTCGCTTCCCCCCTCCTCATTCTCTTTCCCTCTGCTCACTCCCCTTGTTCTAACCCCACTTTCCCCATTTCTCACCCATTTTCCCCCTTCACGCTCTCTTACCCCCTCTGCTCGCCCCTGTTTTCCCAACTCACGCCTATACTCACTCTCTCCCCCCCTGCTCACTCTTCTCCCCCCCTGCTCACTCTCTTTCCCCTTGCTCACTCTCTTTCCCCCCTTCTCACTCTCTTTCCCCCTTCACGCTCTCTTTCCCTCCCTTCCGCCCGTTGCCCCCCTTCGTCTCGCGCTCGTCCCCTCGCAATCCCCGTCTCTCTCTCCCCCCGTCGCCCTCGTTTTCCCCGTCGCCCTCCCTTCCACTCCTCGTTGCCCTCGCCATCCCTCCCTTCTCCCTTCCCATCTCGCACACTTGTCACGCCCCCTTTCCAACCCGCACATACACCCTTCCCTTCTTCCCTGTTTCCTCGTATCCCCTGCGCTGCTTCCCCCCATCCTCCGACTTGCTCCCCCCATCCCCTTCCCTGCTTCCCCCCAACCCCTTCCCTGCTCCCCCTCATCCCCTTCCCTGCTTTCCCCCTTCCCCTTCCCTGCTTCCCCCCGTCCCCTTCCCTCCTTCCCCCGTCCCCCTCCCAGCATCCCCCCATCCGCTTCCCTGCTCACCCCCATCCCCTTCCCTGCTCCCCCCCATCCCCTTCCCTGCTTCCCCCTATCTCCTTCCCTGCTTCCCCCTATCGCCTTCCCTGCTCACCCCTGCTCCCTCTGTTTCACCCTTGCTCCCTCCCCTTCTTCTTTGCTCACTCTCTTCCCCCTTGCTCACTCTCTTTACTTCTGCTCACTCTGTTCCCCCCTGCTTCCTCTCTTCCCCTCTGTTCAATCTGTCCCCCGCTGCTTCTTCTCTTCCCCTCTGCTAATTCCGTTTACTGTTTTTCCCCCTTCACTCACCCCCATACCCCCCAATGCAGTTACAGGTGCTCAGCACCAGATGTGGCTTTACCACGGCCTGATTTATTGCTTGCAGTGTAGCAGACAAAACCGGAAAACAACATTACATATACACCCCCTAGCTTTGTTCCCTTCTCGAGTCTGGTGATTCCCCTTACTTTACAGATACGGTAATATATTAATTGTTGAACTCCTTGGTATTGGTCATGTGTATGATTGCTCTGAGGCTCATAATCCTGTATTATAAAAAAAGAATCCAATATATGGCATGGCTATACGTGTGTTACTATCAGACAGCTAGCACATGCACAACCAGATGCAGAGCAGACCTGTCCAAACACAAATCAAGAAAGTCAGATGTGAAAAGGCTGAAGTATAAGGGAATGACAACTGGCAAATGAGGAAGGGAGGAACGGAGGAAGGGAGGAAGTGAGGAATGCAGGAATGAAGGAAGGGAGGAAGTGATGATGGGAGGAAGGGAGGTAGGGAGGACGCTTGGGGGAGAAGCAGAAGGGAGGGGAGGAAGAGAGGCTGGGGAGGAGGGTGGGGAGGAGGGTGGGGAGGAGGGTGGGGAGGAGGGTGGGGAGGAGGGTGGGGAGGAGGGTGGGGAGGAGGCTGGGGAGGAGGGTGGGGAGGAGGCTGGGGAGGAGGCTGGGGTGGGGCGGAATGGGGTGGGCCAGAAAGGGGTGGGGCGGAATGGAGTGGGGCAGAAAGGGGTGGGGCGGAATGGGGTGGGGCGGGGCGGAATGGGGTGAGGCGGATTGGGGAGATGAGGGATGGGGAGATGAGGGATGAGGAGATGAGGGATGGGGAGGTGTGGGATGGGGAGGAGAGGGCTGGGGAGGAGAGGGATGGGGAGGTGAGGGATGAGAAGGTGAGGGATGGGGAGATGAGGGAAGGGAAGATGAGGAATGGGGAGATGAGGAATGGGGAGATGAGGGAAGGGGTAATGAATGAACGTGTATACGACGGAAGGGTGCTGCTGACCACGCGCCCTCCCACACCCCACGCGATGGGAAGGGATGAGAGGGTGGGCGGCATGGGTAGAGAAGCGATGGTGAATAGGGGGAACGTGATGGGCAGGGGAGTGATGACGACGTGGAGAGAGGAGGAGAGAAGGGAGGTCGGCGGGAAGGCTAAGCGAGGACGATGGGAGGGCAAGCGTGGGCGACAGTGGCGGTGGGCGACGGTGGCGGTGGGCGACGGTGGCGGTGGACGACGGTGGGGAGAAGCGTGGGCGACGGTGGGGGGAAGCGTGGGCGACAGTGGGGGGAAGCGTGGGCGACGGTGGGGGGAAGCGTGGGCGACGGTGGGGGGAAGCGTGGGTGACGGTGGGGGGAAGCGTGGGCGACGGTGGGGGGAAGCGGGGGCGACGGTGGGGGGAAGCGTGGGCGACGGTGGAGGAAAGCGTGGGCGACGGTGGGGGGAAGCGTGGGTGACGGTGGGGGGAAGCGTGGGCGACGATGGGGGGAAGCGTGGGCGACGGTGGGGAAAGCGTGGGTGACGGTGCTCCGAAGCGTGGGCGACGGTGGGAGGAATCGTGGGCGATGAGAGGGGAAACGTGAGGGAAGGTGGGGAAAGGCGTGAGCGACGGTGTGGGGGAAGGCCGGAGGAAGCGTGAGCGGCGATAAGGGGAAGCGTGAGCGACGGTGGGGGAAAGCTTGGGCGACGGTGGGAAGAGTGGGCGTGTGCGTGGGGAGGTGTGTGAGAGACGGTGGGGAGAAGCGTGGGGGACGCGGAAGGCGATAGGTCCAAATGCGATGTTTGGGAAAGAGCTAGGAATAAAAGTGAAAATGCTCATGGCCTATGCTGTAGTGGCGTTTTATTCTATCTCTTCGCATACTCTAATCGCTTCGCGTACTATGGAAATCACACGACCTGAATTACCGAAGAAGGCAAACTGTGCACATTTTGAGCCCTTGTTCCTTCAGGAGGGTGTGGTTGGGACTCTCGCCAACCAAACCTGTTCTGCTCTACGACTCTGTGTTTCTTGGCGCAATGTTTTCTGGTAACCAGCCTGGCTCGGGAGGTCAACTGTGGGTTCGGTAGGCAAACTGTGCACAGTTTGCCTTCCTTTTTTTGTAATTCAGGTCTTGGGCTTTAAACCAACCATCAGCCCTGGCACAGACATTTCTGCCTTGCTCAAGACCCCAGATCCCCCCATACCAGCCTCCGGACCACGCTTCGCCATACCTAGCCTCCAAGTCCGCTGCACTGTTCTACATACACAGAACAAGCCGTTCTTCCGAATCTTCTGCTCATCTCCTCATATGTTGGTTCTTCTGGAAGATTCTGTCCTGGCTGGCCCGTTCGGTTTGCGCCAGCAGTACTTCTTTATTACGCCCGATTATTTCGTCGTTCGCAGCGGTGTTGGTCGCGTGATCGCGGGTGCGTGTTGCGTGGGAAGTGTTGTAACGCGATGCGCGGTGTGAGTTACATCCACTGAGTACCGACATTTGAAATCCGTTATACAAGTCGCCTCCATTTCGAGACGCGATCGAATTTTAGGCGCAGAACCGGCGTTGCCGTTGTGCTGATCGTCGTTGATAGCCTTAGATCACCGTGGATCGCCTTATTAGCCTTTGATCGACGCTGGACACGGTTGATCTTCTTCGCTGATTACCGCAAGGATCGCCTCAGATCCGCGTTTTTTCGCACCACAAGTCGATAAGGCGTGGAAAGAGGAGGAAGAGGTTGCCAGATTGGTCATTCAGTAATTTGAAACTTGGAATCCAACTTCTAGGTGCGTATGTGCCGTCATGTCCTATCGTTTGGCCAACGTTCGTCCCCATTTCTTGCTTGTCTTCGTCTTGTCAGCTAATGTCGCCATGCCGTGTTCTTGGTACTGTGAGATTGACAACACCTCCCTATAACTCTTTAATCCTGTCGGCCCATTAGGTGTGCTGGCGCCGCGGGCTTTTTTTTGTGTGTGTGTAAACGACTAAGGTACTCTGGTTAGATAACCCACAGACGCCGGACGACAAAATGTGGATTTGTTTCTGAATAATGTTCCTCAGATCGATCCGTTGATCTGTCTTTTTACCTTCGAGTCGTCGTCGTCGTCGTCTTTGTCTCACGGAACTGCTTATAATCTTTCTCCAGTTCCGCAACCCGTCTCGTTATCAATGGTTGCCTGCCTTCCTCACCCCCTTCTCCTCCCCTTCCACCCCACCTCCCTCTCCCCCCACTCTCCTCCCTCCACCCAAACAACCCGTTTCCTCCCCTCCCCCCCATCTCCCTCTCGTCAACCTCACCTTCTCTCCCTGATTCCTCCGCTCCTTCCGCTCGATCTCTTGCCTGCAGCAGCACTCACTCAGTCATGGGACAGCAGCTCTTGGCCATCGTGCCGTTGCTCAGCCTCTCGATCGCTGGCGCGCTGCTCATGTTCCACTCCCAACCTATCATCCCCCACTCCCCAATGTCTCGTCTCTCGTCTCTGCAGCAACACTCACTCAGTCATGGGACAGCAGCTCTTGGCCATCGTGCCGTTGCTCGGCCTGTCGATCGCCGGCGCACTGCTCATGTTCCGCAGAAGGCGCAGGGGAATCCCCAAGGACTGGGGCGCCATTTCCGAGAAGGTGGAGCTGCTGCCGCCCCCGCCGCCGCCGCCGCCGGCCGCGCCGCACCCGCTGACCGGCCTGACGTTCGTCATTAAGGACATGTAAGGGAGGCAAGTTGAGCGCTGGTTAAGTTCTTGACGCGTGTGCGTATCGTTTCGGATTGAATGTCCCTTAGTGACCGTTTCTATTCACACGGCTGCATTCCACCCTTCCACCCTTCACGCTGCCACCCTTCACCATTCGCCCTTCACGCTTCCACTGCTGGCAGATTCGACGTGGAGGGCCACGTGGCAGGGTTTGGGAGTCCCGCGTGGAAGGCGAGCCATGCGCCTGCAACGCAGACGGCGCCGTGCGTGAGGGAGCTGGTGGAGGCTGGCGCGCAGCTGGTGGGGAAGACGCACATGGACGAGATGGCGTACAGGTGAGCGACGGTGGGATGAAGTGAAGCGGTGTGATGGTGTTGTGACGGTTCTCCCCAATTCCCTGCTGCTTTTCTATGCAAAAGCGCTGCTGCTTCCGTCCCTTCCATGCGTTTTTCGTCCCCCTCAACCTCCCTCTACAACCCCCCCGTTCCTTCCCACTCTCCCCGCCACTCTCCCCCCCTTTCCTCACGGCAGCATATTCGGCGAGAACAAGGCTTTGGGCACGCCAGTGAACCCCGTGTGTCCCGACCACGTGCCAGGAGGCTCGTCCAGCGGCTCTGCTGTTGCTATTTCTGCCGACCTAGCTGACTTCGCTCTCGGTATGTGTCATCCTCCATTCACTTTTGAGAATTCTGATCTCAACATAGCCGACCTAGCTGACTTCGCTCTTGGTATGCATCATCCTCCATTCCCATGCCCACAGCCCTATGCACCACATGCCTTCACACATAAACCACCATTCCCCCGCATGCGCCCCCACCATGCCCCTCCATGCACCACATTTCCACTGCGCCGTACCTCTGCCCTCCAATGCGCCACCTGTTCCCATCAATGCGCCACATACCCCCCCAATCCACCACCCGCCCTCCCATGCATCACATACTCTCCCATTCACTGCATTTCCACTGCACACGTCTGCCCTCCCTCCCTGTCCCTCGCTGCTCGTTGCTGCTTGTTCTGTCCCCTTGCCTCTCCGAACCAAGCCCATTGTCGCATGCTCTCGCTCTCGTGTACCTCTGCCCTGACATGCACATGCGATGGATCTTATTCCTGTGTTTCCCCCCTGTCCCCCCTGTCCCCCCTGTCCCCCCTGTCCCCCCTGTCCCCCCTGTCCCCCCTGTCCCCCCTGTCTCCCTTCTCCCCACTCGTTGCTCGGCCGTCCCCTTTTCTCAACCAAAGTTGTCCGCCCTTTCCTTGCCCTTCTTTCCCCCCTTGTCCTTCTCTGCTCTCGCTCCTCCCATCCCCATCCCCCTACCAGGCACGGACACAGCAGGCAGCATCGGCATCCCAGCAGCGTTCTCCAGCGTGCTGGGGTTGGGTTCCGTCCCTCCCATGGCGCCATCTCTTGAGACCCCCGTAATCCCTCCTCTTCCTTCTCACTTTTCACTTTCCCTTTCAAACCCCCAACCCCCATCCTCCCCACCCTCCCCGCCCTCCCTACCAGGCACGGACACAGCAGGCAGCATCCGCATCCCAGCAGCGTTCTGCGGCGTGCTGGGGTACCGGCCCTCCCATGCAGTCTCTAAGGCGCTCCTCTCCTCTCACTCCCCCTTCTCGCGTCCCCCCGTTCCGTCTCCCCCGGTCTTCTCTCAGGCACGGACACAGTGGGCATCATCCGCATCCCAGCAGCGTTCTGCGGCGTGCTGGGGTCCCGGCCCTTTCATGCAGTCTTCATAACGTTCCCCTCCTCTTCCACCTCTGTTCCCGCTGCTCCCCCCCACCCAGGCACGGACACAGCAGGCAGCATCCGCATCCCAGCAGCGTTCTGCGGAGTGCTGGGGTACCGGCCCTCCCATGGCGCCATCTCTGCTGCTGGTTGCGTCCCCATGGCTCCCTCCCTTGACACCGTCGGTAAGGGATCGCGTGAACGCGTGAACGCATGCTTGCATTGCACTGCATGCGTGTGATGAGCACGAGGGTGTGTGTGTGACACGTCTTGACTTTTGAGTCGACTCACCTCGTTGCATGCGTCCTCGTTGCATGCGTCCTCGTTGCATGCGTGTGATGAGGGTATGTGACACGCCCGCCGCTGCCCACCTAACTGCTACTGACACGTCCTGCATGCATGCGACGAGGGTGTGTTTCGAGAATTCTCAAGTCCCTTGTTGATTGATGCATCCTGGCAGCCTGGCAGGTAGTGATTGAGACGCGTGAAGGTATAAGCCAGCCAGCCATCTCCACTACTGGCTGTATCCTGTATCTCCCCCCCACCCACGGTACCGCCTCTTGGCACTGTTGTCGCGGCTTCCCTAGCTAGGCGACTTTTGGCACTTTTGTGTCGACTCAACAGTCACCCCACGGCACCGACTCTTGTCACTGTGTCTCTTGTCACTGTTGTCTTGTCTCACCTTCCCTTGCTCCTCGCTCTTCACATCTGTCTCCCCGTCCCTCGCCCCTTCCTCTACTGCTCCCTCCTTCTCCCCTCCCTTCCACTCTCCTCCCCCCCCCCTCCACTTTCCCTCCAGGTGTCTTTGCGGCAGATCCAGCAGTGCTGCGCCACGTGGGCCACATTCTCCTGCGCCAGCCCTTCACACCGCCCCACTGCTACCCCAATAACCTCAAGCCCCACAGAAGCTCACCTCTCAGCCGCATCCGTCTCCCGTTCGCCCCCTCTCTCCTCCCCTTGCACCCTCCTCCCCTCCCTCCTCCCTCTCCCTCCTCCCCTTCGCCTTCCCCCACTCCCCAACCACCCCCCCCTTCCCCACTTTCCCTTCCCTCCCTACCCCCCTCCAGGTGTCTTTGCGGCGGATCCAGCAGTGCTGCGTCACGTGGGCCACATTCTCCTGCGCCAGCCCTTCACGCCCGCCCGCCGCCCGCTCTCCCTCTACCTAGCGGACGACCTCTTTGACCTCTGCTCCATCCCCCGCCGCCACGTCACTGAAGCCGTGCTTTCCGCGGGAGAGCAGCTCTTTGGCCGTGAGTGTTTGCGGGGGGGGGAAGGGAGGGGGGGCAGGAATGTAGGGCAGTCTGTCGCTCTCCCTCTACCTAGTGGACGATCTCTTTGATCTCTGCTCCATCCCCCACCGCCATGTCACTGAAGCCGTGCTTTCCGCGGGAGAGCAGCTCTTTGGCTGTGAGTGGGGGAAGAGTGTTTGCAGGGGGGGGGGATGGCGGGGAGGAATGTAGGGCAGTCTGTCGCTCTCCCTCTACCTAGCCGATGACCTCTTTGACCTCTGCTCCATCCCCCGCCGCCATGTCACTGAGGCGGTTCTGTCCGCGGAAGAGCAGCTCTTTGGCCGTGAGTGTTTGCAGGGTGGGATGGGGGAAAAGGGGTGTAGGGCAGTCTATCCTTCTCTCCCTCTACCTAGCGGACAAGATCTTTGATCTCTGCTCCATCCCTCGCCGCCACGTCACCGAAGCCGTGTTGTCTGCGGGAGAGCAGCTCTTTGGTCGTGAGTGTGTGGGGGGGGGAATGGAGGGAGGGGGGAGGGGGGAGGTGGGGGGGGAGAGGGAATGCTTTTCCCTTCTTCTTTTTCAGTTGGCTATTAAACTTTCACAGAAGCTATGCTTTCTGCGGGAGCGCAGCTCTTGTGTCGTGAGTGTGAGCCGAGGAAGGCTTAGGTCATCTCACCCCCCCCTTAGTGTCTGGCTGTGCGGGCTGTGTCTGGATTTACAATGTCAGTGTTACAAAGCATCACCGTGTGGTGTTCCATTCCTCCCGCTGTTCCTTCTTGGGGCAGGACCGGACCTGCTGCTGCCTGCGCCCATTGTATTGTAATTGGAGGTCCACCCGCCGCGCCTAGAACTCACTATCACTCTGCACCTTCAGCCACTCTTCTCAATCCCTCCTTCCACTTGTCCTCCTACACCCACCCCCTGCAGTGCAGTCATAGTGAAGTATGCGCAAGTGGGGCAGGGCCTGCTGCATGGGTCGTATTAGAAGGAGGTCCCCCAGCTTGCCAAACCTTCCCCCTAGCACACATTCTTTCAGCTAAGCCTCTCAGTTGCTCCCCTCCGCTTTCCCATCAACCCACCCCTGTCCGTGTAGCCATAGTGAAGTACGTGCAGGTGGGGCAGGACCCACACACCTGCGCTGAATGTATTGTAATGTAACCCCACCTTCGCCTCCCGTCCGCTTTCTTTCCATCTCCGTGTCCATTCGTGCAGCCATTGTGAAGTATGTGCAGGTGGGGCAGGACCTGCTGCTGCGTGGGCTGTATTTTAACCACCCACCTTCCCATCTGCTTGCCCTTCCACGCCCCATCCGTGCAGCCATAGTGAAGTACGTGCAAGTGGGGCAGGACCTGCTGTTGTGTGGATTCTAGTGTAACCCCACATCTCACCTAGTGCCAATTTCAGCCTAGCCTCTCACTCCCTCTCTCCCGCTTGCCCTCTGCTTGCCCTTCAACGCCCCCCTGTCTGTGCAGCCATAGTGAAGTACGTGCAAGTGGGGCAGGACCTGCTGCTGAAGAGGGTACCAGCGATTCAACACTTTCTCAACCTCCTGCCGCCACCAGCAGCACCGCAGGGAAACAGCAGCACCACCGACAGCAGCAGCAGCAGCAGCAGCAGCAGCAGCAGCAGCAGTGTGAAGAAAGCGGCAGAGGAGGGCAAGAGGGCGTTGCAAGCACTGGTAGAAGCGATGAAGCTGCTGCAAAGGTGTGTTTTGTGTTGTGAGGGAAAGGAGTCATAGTTTGAGACGTCTCGAAAGGCGGCAGCAGCGGTGTGAAGAAACCAGCTGAGGAGGGGAAGAGGGCGTTGCAAGCGCTGGTAGAAGCGATGAAGCTGCTGCAAAGGTACATGTTGCTGTGAGCCTGTGAAGCAAATGCACCTTTTTGTACCTTGTGTGAGAAATGTCACCAAGGAAATTTTACTTTGCTGCAAGTTCTCTTCACTACGATCTGACTCTGAAATCCTCATAGACCCTCTAAACTTTTGAGGTTATAAACCCGGCAAAAACCCCTGCCAGACCCTAAACCCTTCATCGCGATAAGTCCTTATCCCCTCAACCTGCAACCCCGAAACCCCTTACTCCGAAACCCCTGTACACTTGCTTGTGTGCTGCAGACACGAGTTCCGCACGGCGCACCTGGCGTGGGGGCAGCAGGTGCAGCCGAAGCTAAAGGCAGACGTTTAAGTCAACTAGAAAATCCCCTTCACCCCTGAACGCCAAAATCCCTACTCTCCTGCTGCTTTTGTCAACAGACACGAGTTCCGCACTGCGCACCTGGCGTGGGTGCAGCAGGTGCAGCCGAAGCTGCAGGCAGACGTGCAGGTGCGCGTGCAGGCAGCAGTGGAGGCAGAGCCTGAGGCGCTTGCAGCACATGCTGCCCAGGCTCAACTGGTGCGGGAGCAGCTAAGGGCCGCCATCACAGACCTCTGCAAGGTGAGAGGCATGCAGGATAGATAGGAGCTGCCCTCCGGCTTGGAATGGATGTGTAGACCTCGTGTTGCCCTCCTTGCCCCCCCCTCTTTTCTCCTCCTCCTTCCTTCCTCTGCCTTTAGTTTCCTTCCAAGCCCCACGTGCTGCCCCCCATCCATCCATCCACCCTCCCATTTCTCTCCACCTCCCCCATCCCCCCACTCCCACCGTACACACTCCTCTCCCCCTCCCCCAGAGCAAACGGGCTGATAGCGCTGCCAGTGACGCCAGACTTCCCCTCCAAGCTGCGTTCCAAGACCCACGTGCTACTCTCCCTCCATACCCCCCACTTCCCCCCTCCACCCTCCCTTTCTCCCTTTCCCCCTGCCCTTGCTCCCTCCCCAGAGCGACGGGCTGATAGCGCTGCCAGTGACGCCAGACTTCCCCCCCAAGCTGCGCGCCAAGCCTCAAGTGCTGGACGCGTTCCGAGCCTCCGCCATGCTTCTCGTGGCCCCCGGGTCCATGTCCGGCTGCCCGCAGGTGCTTGTTGTTCTGCGCTGTGCTGTGCGGTGCTGTGGTGTACTGTGCGGTGCTGTAGTGTGCTGCTTTTTTTTTTTTGGTGAATGGGGTGGTATGGCATGCTGGTAGGTACAAGGGAACTGGCGTGCTTCTCGTGGCCCCTGGGTCCATGTCCGGCTGCCCGCAGGTGCTTGCGGGGGGGAAGAACAGAAGGGGGGGAAGGGGGACGGAGGTTGTGGGGGAAGAAGAGGAGCGGGGAGGAGGGGAGGGGAGGAGGTGGGGGGAGAAAAGTCTCACTGGGACGAGAACAGGATGGGGAGAAAGGGGAGGATCAGGGGGAACGGGGAGGGGGGAAGCTAGAAGCTACTTCCGTAACCCCTAGGGTTTAGCAAAATAGTCTCAAGCCCCCCTCCAACCCTACCGCTCTCAGGTCGTTCCTTCGCTTTCACGCATCCAGCAGCCACCCTACAGGGCGTGAGGCAGCAGTCTAGCACTCATCCAGGCGCACTCACACTCACACTCACACTCACTCACTCACCCACCACCCACATCCTCTCTCTTCCTGTTCCGGTTTCCCTTTGTCCATGCCCGTCCCCATGCGCAGGTGACAGTGCCTATAGGTCGTATGGAGTGTTCCCCCTCGGGCCTGCCGCTTGCAGTGGGGTTGATGGCACGGCATGGGGCCGACCGGTTTCTGCTTGACTCTGTTACGCACTTTGCCCCGGCAGTGCAAGATGCGTATAAGGTGCGGGGTGAGGGGTGATGGATGGTAGGTGAGGGGTGATGGATGATAGGTGCGGGGTGATGGATGATAGGTGCGGGGTGATGGATGATAGGTGCGGGGTGTTTTTATGTGCATATATGTGTGGAGGGGTTTGCGTGTTCGCATTTGCACACATGTATTTCCTTCCATGTGATTTTGGGTGGATGTGCATGTGAGTGTGCATTTCTCTAGTCTCCCATGTCGCTGCTTTCCCACATGCTTATATCATTCCAAATCGCTCTGTGCTGTGCAGTGCATGTGCATGCCTGTGTGCCTGTTTCTCTGCCTGTCTGCCTCACTCTCGTCCTCCATCTCCCGCTCTCTCCTCCCCTCCGCCTATCCTCCCCTCCTCCTCTCCTCCTCTCCGCTTCCTCTCCTTCTCTCCACCTCTCCACCTCGCCACCATTCTGCAGGCGGTATTGCCTAAGATCAACAAGTCTCAAGCCTCTGCCTCTCTGCCTGTATGCGTGTGTGCCTCACTCCCGCTCTGCATCTCCTCTCCTCTCGTTCTCTCCACCCCTCCACTGCGCCACCTCATTGCAGGCGGCATTGCCCAAGTCTCAAGCCTCTGCATCCTCATCAGTAGCACGACTTTTGAGGCGGCTTAAAAGAACTCTCCTTCTCTCCACCTCTCCACCTCGCCTCCATTCTGCAGGCGGTATTGCCCAAGATCAACACATCTCAAGCCTCTGCATCTTCATCAGCAGCACGACTTTTGAGGCGCCTAAAAAACACTCTCCACCTCTCCACCTCGCTTCCATTCTGCAGGCGGTACTGCCCAAGATCAACAAGTCTCAAGCCTCCGCATCCTCATCAGCAGCAGCGCAGCCTGTTCTCTCACAAGCTGAAATCGCCAAAGAAAAGGTACGCTCGCTGTCAGTCAGTTGGGACGTTTTTGTGATTCTCAGCTCGTCAGTCAGACCTGATGAGCTCAAAGAGATCCCTGATTCTTGGAATTGGACGAGTTTTGAGGCGCATCAAAACTCGAGGCGCCTAGAAGAAAGAAATAGGCCTGATGAAATCTCTGAACCTTGGAGATGGCTTCCTGCAATTCAAGTAAGCTCCCTGATTCTTAGCCGGTCTCCTTGTGCCTACCTCCAGCAGCTTTTATCTGCCACCACCACTCCCCCGGCCTCCTCTGCTGCCCGCCATTGATGGTTCTAGACGCCTCCTGCCTCATCCACTACCCGCTGGCCTCTCTGTTTCCTGTCATCTTTGCGCTCCCGCTTCCATCACCTCCTAGGGCAACAAGGCGTACAAGCAGAAGGAGTACCAGGAGGTTGCGGACCATTACACAACGGCCATCCTACACGACAGCAAGAATAACACCACCGTCCACCCCTCCCACTCCCCTCTTCCCCACTCCAGGGCAACAAGGCGTACAAGCAGAAGAAGTATCAGGAGGCAGTGGACCATTACACAGCAGCCATCCGGCACGACAGCAAGAATAACACCACCGTCCACTCCCCCTTCTTCCCTTTCATTCCCATTGTCCCCCCATTCCCCCCTCCCCTCCCTCCCCATCAGGGCAACAAGGCGTACAAGCAGAAGAAGTATCAGGAGGCAGTGGACCATTACACAGCAGCCATCCGACACGACAGCAAGAACGCCACCTACTACTCCAACCGCGCCATGGCCTACCTCAACCTGCACAAGTCAGTCGCCGTTGCCTCGTTGCCTCGTTGCAGCGTGTGTCCTCTCAATGTGCTGTGCTGTTGTCTGTTTGACCACTTCTTGCTGCGCTGCAAGAACGCCACCTACTCTACTACTCCAACCGCGCCATGTGGCCTACCTCAGCCTGCACAAGTGAGACCAATCGGAATGGCATGGTTTCTCCAGTGCATGCATCTGGCTTCCGCTGCATCTGGCCTTGTTTGTTCTACCCAAACGCCACCTACTCTACTACTCCAACCGAGCCATTGCCTACCTACCTCAACCTGCACACGTGAGTCGAAACATGGGGTCGTAGGCTCATGGGCTCATTCATTGCTGTGGCTCATCGAAACATGGAATATACCATGTCCCATCGCCCCTCATCCTCTCCCTCCGCCTTGTTTTGTTTCTCTTCTCCCCCCTCCATTCTGTCCCCTCTCCCCCGCCCTGCAGTTTTGAGCAAGTGGAGGCGGATTGCACAGCGGCGTTGAGTCTCGACAAGAAAGTGAGTTTTTCTCCGCAACACAGCCAGCAACAACTGTGTGTCACTGGATTGTCTCGCCTCCCCCTCCCTCTCCCACTTCCCCTCCCCCCCCACACTCCAACTCCCCCTCCCCCTCCCTCTCCCCCTCCCTCAACCCCTCCCTCTACCCCTCCCTCTCCCCCTCCACCTCCCCCTCCCCCTCCCCCTCCACCTCCCCCTCCCCCTCCCCCTCCCCCTCCCCCTCCCCCTCCCCCTCCCCCTCCCCCTCCCCCTCCCCCTCCCGCTCCTCTTGCCATGACCTCTCTTCTTTACACACACCGCATCTGCTGTTTTTTTTGGAGCCATCTTCGTGTTCTGTGCTTGCCCAACGAGCCTCTGTCTGGCTGGTGTGTGGTTACCCTCTGCGTCTTTTTATGTGCCTCAAAAGTCATTTGTTGTTTTCTTGGAACCATCTCTGTGCTGTGTGCGTGCCTACCGTGTCTCAATCTGCTGTGCTTTTACCCTCTGTGCGTGTGTCTGCTGTCTATCTATCTACCCCCCCCCCCCCTCCCGATCAGAATGTGAAGGCCATGCTGCGCAGAGGGACAGCCAGAGAGATGCTCGGGTTCTACCCAGAGGCGTTTGAAGGTACCATCTCTGGAATACAGAAGGCAACGAGAGGGGGAGGAGGGAGGGGGGGGAGAGGGGGGGGGGGGGGGGGGGAGAGGGGGGGGGGGGGGGGGGGGGGGGGAGGGAGAGAAGGGGGGTTTTTTTGAGTTGCTAACGGTTCTAGTCCTTCAAATTCTCTATGACTCTCGCACGCATGCACACGTACAGAGTTCACCCGCTGGTCCCACTTCCCCACTCCCCGCCTTGTTGCCTTTCTCTCATTTCGCCTCCCTTGTTCACATCCTCGTTCCTCCGCCATCCCTCCCACCTGCCCGTCAACCCGCACCAACTTAGATCCAACCCCTTGCTCTCGTTCTTCTCCCACTTCTCCCTCTTCTTGCCCGTCCCCCTTGTCCCCCTTCCCTCTTTTTCTCCCCCGTGTATTCTTTCTCCCCCATCCCTCTCTCTCCCCCTTGTATTCTTTCTCCCCCATCCCTCTCTCTCCCCCTTGTATTCTTTCTCCCCCATCCCTCTCTCTCCCCCTTGTATTCTTTCTCCCCCATCCCTCTCTCTCCCCCTTGTATTCTTTCTCCCCCATCCCTCTCTCTCCCCCTTGTATTCTTTCTCCCCCATCCCTCTTTCTCCCCCTTGTATTCTTTCTCCCCCATCCCTCTCTCTCCCCCTTGTATTCTTTCTCCCCCATCCCTCTCTCTCCCCCTTGTATTCTTTCTCCCCCATCCCTCTCTCTCCCCCTTGTATTCTTTCTCCCCCATCCCTCTCTCTCCCCCTTGTATTCTTTCTCCCCCATCCCTCTCTCTCCCCCTTGTATTCTTTCTCCCCCATCCCTCTCTCTCCCCCTTGTATTCTTTCTCCCCCATCCCCGTATATTCCCCGCATGCAGACTTCAGTCAGGCGTTGATTCTAGAGCCCACCAACAAGACAGCCTTGGAAGCAGTCACTCGCATGAAGGAGAGCGGGATAGCCTGAGGGGGGGACAGGGCATGACATGGGAAGGATAAGGAGCAAGAGAGGTTAGGAAGAGGAAGAGGGTGGTTGGGGGTTGTGGGGAGAGAGGGGGGAGGGGGAGGAGGTTATGTGGGAGATTACAAGATGTTATGGGACTGATATAACATCAAGCTTATGGGGTCAGCTTTCCCGGGAAAAATGCCAAGGCAAAAAAAGGTTAAACAGGAGGAACATGTTAGAAGGAGCGCTCCTGTTAAAACCATACTGAAAGTGGATTCTGCAGATGGTAAGTTTGAGTTGGCTGTTTTCGGATAGGCAGGCACTGCCTTCTTTGGCAGGATATATTCAATTGAAGATTATAGCTGGTAGTTTTTTTAGCAGAAGTCTCTTACTAGGTGTACTGATTCTCAGAATAAACTTCTGGTGGGTGCAATACAGCCAATGGTACTTTCATGTTCCTGTGTTCTTACTACGGTGTCTAGAGACTGCCCCCATGTTTTCTAGAGCATGTTAGAACACTTGCGAGATGAAGATTCTCATAACCATAATGGTGACGCTTATGGGATAGTGAGCAAATGATCAACAAAGATTAGATAAACAAACTACGGGTAAGGTTGCAGCAGTGAGTGGTAGCACATAAGCAACAGCAAGAACGTCAACACCTTTGTTGCTGGTGGTAGGTATTGAAGCGACTCGCATGCGGAGAACAAGGGATGATGTAGGTAAGCAGCAGTGGTGGTGGGTGGTTGGCAGCGGTGTTTGGTGTGAGGTCAGTCTCACTCTCACAGGGAGTGGTTAGCGAGCAGCGAGAGCTGAGGGTACCGGTACTCTTTAAGAGTCTCAGACTAGTCAGTGCAATGGATGCTCATGGTTAGTGAGTGAGTGAGTGAAATTAGATGCTGACGGTATCATCTGAGTCTGAGTCCATGTTTGTGGGCATCGCACTGTGCCTGCCTGTGTGTGTGCCTCATACCGTATAAAGATATGAGGCACATGAGTACACGAAGCAACAACCCGCGTATCACACTCGCGCCTTGCCACTCAGCCAGTCCCCCTCCCCTCCTCTCCCCACTTCCACCCCCTCCCCTTCACCGAGCCTGCTTCCCCTTGCTTCATGCCCAGCTTCCCGCAGACGCTTCTTCCTTATCCAATCCTCCCCTCCTCGCACACCCACTCCTGGTACCGTAGCTTCCAAATTGACCCTGTCATTTCAACCGTCCCCTGCTCCAGACATACCTCCTCAGAAAGCGCAGCGAGCACGATCCTTGAGACTTCTCAAAAGCACACCCCCCCGCCCGCTCTTCTCCTCCACCCCTCCTCCCCCTCCTCCCCTCCTCCCCTTGCACACACACACACAGTCGTCTGCTCTGCCAGGCTGTCCATGTCTCGCTGCTGACATGTCAACCGAAAGCGCTTCGAGCGCAGAGTGTAGAACGTTTCAAAATCTCTCCTCCCCTCCTTTCCTCCTTCCCTCTCCCCCCACACACCCTCTCAGTCAGTCATCTGCCAGGCTGTCAATGTCTCTCTCCGGGAACATGTCGTCAGCAAGCGCAGCGAACACAGCAAGCGCAGCGAACACATTTTCTGAAACGTCTCTAATTCCCTCCACCCCACCTCCTCCCCTCCACCCCTCCCCCCCCACACACCCTCTCAGTCAGTCATCTGCCAGGCTGTCAATGTCTCTCTCCGGGAACATGTCGTCAGCAAGCGCAGCGAGCGCGAGCACCAATGCGGTGTCGACACCTGTCAGCACACGCACGTAGTAGTATGCTTCCGAGGGCGGCAGAGCGCTGTTGCGAGCCGCAAACCCGTCCTTCTGCACCTCGGCTAGAAGGATGCCGTCACGCGTGACGATCTGGGGCGGGGAGGGGAGCAAGTAAAAGAGAGAAGGGATGGGCTGGTAGAGAATACCCACAGCACGCTGCTGCGAGCCGCAAACCCGTCCTTCTGCACCTCGGCTAGAAGGATGCCGTCACGCGTGACGATCTGGGGCGGGGAGGGGAGCAAGTAAAAGAGAGAAGGGATGGGCTGGTAGAGAATACCCACAGCACGCTGCTGCGAGCCGCAAACCCGTCCTTCTGCACCTCGGCTAGAAGGATGCCGTCACGCGTGACGATCTGGGGCGGGGAGGGGAGCAAGTAAAAGAGAGAAGGGATGGGCTGGTAGAGAATACCCACAGCACGCTGCTGCGAGCCGCAAACCCGTCCTTCTGCACCTCGGCTAGAAGGATGCCGTCACGCGTGACGATCTGGGGCGGGGAGGGGAGCAAGTAAAAGAGAGAAGGGATGGGCTGGTAGAGAATACCCACAGCACGCTGCTGCGAGCCGCAAACCCGTCCTTCTGCACCTCGGCTAGAAGGATGCCGTCACGCGTGACAATATGGGGTGCAAAGGAAGACGAACGGGGGAGGGAGGGCGGGGGAAACAGGGGAAAAGCAAGGGTCACGAGGGGAGGATTGGGCTGTGAAAAGAAAAGAAAAAAGCATCCCTTGGCACCTCGGCTACTTGGATGCTGCAACGTGCGTGACAATTTGGACTGGATGGGGAGAGGAAACGGGAAGGAACGGAGGAGCGGGAGGGGGGGGGGAGAGGGGGAACGAGGCGGCGGGGAGGGGGGAGCAACGATCCAGAGGGCAGCAATCAAAAGAAACAGAAATGAAGCAGAATAATTTAACGGAAGAAAGAACAAGGCTGTGGACTGGGATTTGAAGGGAGACGATAGGTGAGGGGGGAGGGAGCATGGGAAGGAAAGTACCCTGTAGTTGCGCTTGGAAAAGAAGCCTGTTAGCTCAATGTCAGGTTCAAGTGATGTGTTGCCTCTTAGGAACACCTGGGGGCACGCAGGGAAAAGGAGGCAGGGGGTAAGGCGGGAGGAGAGGCAGAGGGAGGCGCAGGGAAGAGACAGGGGAGAGGCAGAGGGAGAGGCAGAGGGGGAGGCAGGGGGAGAGGCAGGGGGAGAGGCAGGGGGAGAGGCAGGGGAGAGGCAGATTGACAGGCAGAGGAAGTGGAAGAGGGAGGCGCATGGATGGTGCATGAGTAATGCAGTGCTCATCGCACATGCCCTCCATCGTGCTCATGCCTGAGTTGAGTCCACACCCACAGGCACAAATACGGCATGCACGCACGCTCACATGTATGGACGCACGCTCACATGTATGCATGCGCGCTCACAATCATGCACGCGCGCTCACACACAGAGCACGTAAAGCTATGCACAACCGCGAAGGCCACGCCACATGCATGCATGCCCCGAGATCGCTTCTAATAATAAATTTTCCTCAGAAGCCCCATAACCCAATCGCCCCAGGGTTTCCCACCTTCATGCAGGGGCGCAGCGACATGACGCCGCTCTTGGCCTGCAGCAGGTGCGAGTCGGCGCTGGCGGAGTCCCCCGGGCACAGGTACGTGGTGTCGTGCAGCGTCAGCAGCTTGCTCACCAGGTTGCACACCGGCTGCCCCTCCGCGTCTAGAATGAACCGCTTCGACCGCATGGATAGAGGCCTGGTGGTGGGAGAAGGAAGGGGGGGGGAGGAGGGGAGGAAAGGGGGGGAGGGGGAGGGTTAATGCGAGCTTTGACGCGCCTCAGAGATTGTCTCATGTCACTGGCTGGCTGCTCATCCGCATCTAGGATGAACCGCTTCGACCGCATGGAGAGAGGCCTGGTGGAGGAGGGGAGGGGGTGGACGGTTTTTTAGGTGCATCGAAATCAGATTATACGCTATGCGCCTCAGAAGGCGGCTGCTCGTCCGCGTCTAGAATGAACTGCTTCGTCCGCATGGATAGAGGCCTGGTGGTGAGGGGGCGGGGGGGTTGGGAGGGAGAGGGGGACGGGGGGGGAGGGGGAGGAGGAGAGGAGGGAGGAGAGGGGGTTGAGGCGCCTGAGAAGCGTACTGCTCGCCTGCGTCTGGAATAAACCAGGGCAGCGGGTGGTGGGCAAGCTGCAGGTACGTGGTATCGTGTCGTGCAGCTTCAGCAGCGTCAGCAGCATGGCAGCGCGGCAGCGTGGCCTGCTCACCAGGTTGCACACCGGCTGCCCATCCACGTCTTGGATGAACCGCTTCGACCGCATGGATAGAGGCCTGGTGGTGGGAGAAGGAGGGGGGAGGGAATGTTTTAAAAGGAACTTCTGAGGCGCCTCAAAGATTGTCTCATGCCACCGACTGACCCGCCATGACTAGAATGAATTGTTTCGACCGCATGGATAGAGGCCAGGGGGTGGGAGAAGGGGGAAGGGGGGGTGGGGGGTGGTTTAGATGCGAGCTTTGAGGCGCCTCAGATAATTTCATGTCACCGGCTGGTTGCCCATCCGCGTCTAAAATGAACCGCTTTGACCGCAAGGCGAGAGGCCTGACGGAGGAGGGGGGGGAGGGAGGAGGAGCTAGAGGAGAGGGGAGGGGGCCGGGTGTGAGCTGAGCAGGAGAGTCACAATGGATACTGTCACACCCGTCCGTGACGCACGCTGCCACCAAGGGTCTTGAGCCTGAGAGACAGCAGTTGCTTCCGTCCGCCCGGCGGACCATTGCTCCTCCTTCATACTTCAGGGCACGCGGTGCGAGTGCGTTGCAACGAACAGAGCCTTTCCGCCGCTGATGCCTGCTATTACAAGCACAATACCGCGCCACACGCAACTCTAAGCGCTCCGCCAAGCTCGCTTGCCCCCGAAGCGCGCTCTCACCGCGACTATTCCATACCATAGTACCCGCACTCGTAGCTGTACCTTTACACGTAGCACGTACACGCACTGTAGCGCACTTGTAACCCGTACAATTATTTAACCCGTACCCGTGTCCATACTTTTCGTACCCGAGCGGTTCCCGCATCCCTACAACAACGACTCACTTGGCGGAGAGCTTGAAGTGCAAATTGCCGACGACGTCGTGAATCTCCGTCTCCTTGTCCGTCGAGAACGGCCGATCCTTCATTACAAGCACAGTGTCGAACGGCTTGCAGTATTTGCGGCCCACCACTACAATCACGGGCTGCACGGGGGTGGACGTTTGCGGCATCGTCATGCTACTGATA